ATCAGATACATAGAGATTAGAGACACATGTGCAAACATCTAAGTGTTAGTATTATTAAAAATGAGTTTTTGCTGCATGAAACAGTATATTTTAAAACAAAATGGATATCATTTTTAAAGGTTAAAACCTCATTCAATTTTATGACTTCTAGGGTTTATACTGAGTTCAATATTGTATGGCTGTATTAATTCAACTGTGAACCTAAAAATTTACAGCCAATTTTGAAAGAGATGCATCTTTGCTCTGGAAATTTTTATTGAATATGTTAATGCTATAATGAAATGCTTCTTCTAATCATGTGGCTATTAAAAAAATACAGATAATGAGCTGTGTGCTTAAGGTTTAGCTCCGTAGCAGCACTTGTGAACAGGTCCTGGGTTCAATCTCTGGCAGGTGTGTGTGTATGTGTGCGTGTGTGTGTATGTGTGTGTGTGTGTGTGTGTGTGTGTGTGTGTGTGTGTGTGTGGTGTGTAGGGAGGGTAGTGAGGAGCGGGGGAATTGAAATCTTCAGGCATCTCTTAAGATTACTAGAGATAGGAAACTCACCAGTTGACTCAGTAGGAAATTCGGTGTTTAATCAGAGAGAGAAGTATCACTTGGCAGAGAGTGATCAAAGGGAGAGATTGAAAACAGATTCAACAAAGATTCCAAGTGCAGCTACCAGTGACAGGCTCCCGTGCCCTTTAGAGGCATTAACTGGTTTAATAATGTAACCAGCTGTATTTGTTTCCTGGTGTAACAAAGTTGTGCTTTACCCTAGAGGAGTCCATTTTTTAGAAAAATTTTGTGTGTGGTGACTGTGTATGTATACGTGTGTATGAACATTCACATGTATGATGTGCATGCATATGTAGGCCATAGATGGACATTGGTGTCTTCCTCTATTGCATCTTGCTTTAAAAATATTTTATTATTTTATTTTATGTGCATGAGTGTCATGCCTGCATGCATGTAAGTGCACTGTGTCCTGCCATGTCCATGCAGGTCAGTAGAGGGCATCAGTTTCCCCTGGAATTGGAGTTATGGATGGTTATTAGCCACCATGAGGATGCTAGGATTTGAATCTGGGTCCTCTGAAAGAGCAGCTAATGCTCTTAACCACTGAGCCATCTCTCTGGCCCCTGTACCTCGCTTTTTTAATTTGTTTGTTTTTTGAGACAGGGTCTCCCTGCAGCCCCAGCTGGCCTGGAAGTCACTATGTAGACCAGGCCTTGATCTCACAGAGCTCTGTCTACCCCTGTCTCCTGAGTGCTGCATTACAGTCATGTACTGCTACCATGGCTGCTGCACCTTTTTTTTTTTGTTGTTGTTGTTTTTTTGTTTTTTGATTTTTGTTTTTTTGATTGTGGTGGTCAGAGACTTGACCGCCCTGTTTAGTCCAGCGAGAATGATGACCTTTCATGGATAATCTGCATTTCATGCATTTTTTTTTTGGCATGAGTCTTGGCTGGAGGTTGGGGTTATTTCCAGCTTTCTGTCATTGATTTCTTCTGTATGCCAATTACATTTTTTTTTTTTTTGACTTCCCAGACTATGTTTTTTATCTCTAGGAGTTCAGCTCGGTGGTTTACATTCTCTGTAGGGCACAGGCCTCTGCTTTTTGAGGCATGGTTCCTCGCTGAATCCAGAGCTCATTGATTGGCTAAAGCGGGTGACCAGAAATCTCTGGGGATCCACCTGTCTCTGACCCCTCTGAGTGCTGGGATTGCAGCAAACAATGGCAGTAGCACATAACTGTTACCAGAGTCCTTAAGGGTAGAGCTTGGACTCTGGCAGTCCCAACAAACCAGGGCCTTGGCCTCAATCTGCTGGTCAAATAGTAAAAACCAGAGAAAGGGAATTTATTCAGTGTGGCCATATTGGGGAAAGGAACAAATCGAGGTCTAGTGACCCATGGAGGGCAAGAGGTATGGATAACTATGCACCGTCAAGGTGTGGTCCCTCCATCATGACCCAGCTCCATCTCTCCTGCAGGGTTGTCAGAACTGTGAGATCTCTGGGAAGTTTCTCTTCTGGCTGGTAGCAGGCTTCAAGCGTTTTCCTTCCCCAAAACGAGTCTCCCTGGGACATTCCAATTCCTTTGTTTTAATAGTCGATAGTCGAAGGAGCACACAAACGCCTCTTTGGAATCAATCTTTGGCCCTGCCAGGATGGTTATATTGTCATGACTAGCAGATTAGCTCTGAAAAGGAGCACCTGCACAGTACACGCTGGGAGAACGTGATGTAGATACACATCCGGACTAATTTAGCTTTCAAAGGAGGAAGCGTTTGAACAAAGGGTAGCCCTCCGCCCCGGGTGGAACTTCGGTGAACAGCTTGCCTCGGGCTAGGGATTGGGCTCCAGGGCTCTAGGGCCTGGTGGCTGTGTTCACTTTCAATGTGAGGGCAGATCCTGGCATAACCAATAGCACAGGCTCGGGATGCATCTGACAGTCCGTAATCCAGGTGGGAAATGCGGCTTCCCCGCCGACCATTGAGGAGGACACCACGGAATTCCCACCCGCACAGTGGCCTTGCTGCCCTGGCCCATCATTCTTGGGGCAGAGCGCACCCCAGGCTGGGCACTCGGTCCTCGCAGAGTGCGGGGTCCCAGGAGGCGGTGGCCAGGAAGGGCGGGGTTGGGGGCGCGGGGCGGCCAGAGCCAATCAGGACTCGCGGCGTTCTGGGGCGAGGGCTCCCGGTTTCCCGGCTCCAAGCGCAGCGCCGCCTGGCGAGTGGGGCGCGCGCGGGCGGAGCCTGGCGGGGGGACCCGGGCGCGCGGGGCTGCCGGGATTGTCCTCGTGCGTGTCCCAGGAGGCGGTGGCCAGGAAGGGCGGGGTTGGGGGCGCGGGGCGGCCAGAGCCAATCAGGACTCGCGGCGTTCTGGGGCGAGGGCTCCCGGTTTCCCGGCTCCAAGCGCAGCGCCGCCTGGCGAGTGGGGCGCGCGCGGGCGGAGCCTGGCGGGGGGACCCGGGCGCGCGGGGCTGCCGGGATTGTCCTCGTGCGTGTCCGCGGCTCTTTGCCCTTCGCCCTCCTGGGCTCGGGCCACGCGGGGGCGGCG